TAATGTACTTTTTAAGAAACTCTAATGTATGAAATGGACTTGTGTTGTAACCCATTCTCATTATTGGATCCTTAGGAAAAATATGGATCTTTCGGGTGTGCCCGACGCAGACCGCTCGCTGTAGCTTGCTTTTAGGGTGCTGAGTGTTTGGTGGAAGACGAGCGCCTCCGTAAGTATGCTATTTCGAGCGGTTCTGCCACAGCGCGTCAGCGGGCGGAGAGAGGAAAGGGGATGCACGACGCAGCAGCTTCGGCTGGGCCAGGTGCAAAGAAAAGATGGGACGCGTGGAGAAGAGAGCGGTGGCATGCGGAGGGGAGGAAATGGGCCAGTGCGGGGAAGCCGGGCCGTGCGGTGCGACCGTGGGAGGAGGAAGCAGGCCTGCGCGACAACTAGGCCAAAAGGAAGGGATGGGGATGGCCAACGGAAACAAAAGCCGAGAGGAGAAATTGAGAGCGGGAAACAGAACTGGGCCGCGGAGAGAGGCAGCTGGGCCAAAAGAGAAGATAGGGGATTTTCTTCTTTTCCTTTTCCATTTTCAAACCAAATTTAAATATGAATCAAATCAAATTGGAATAGGGTTTAAAATACATTTTTTAGTTCAAATAAAAATGAACAATTTTGGGTAAGCTCTAAAAATAAATTTTACAACTTAAAAAAAATACTTTTATTTTCAAATTATCTTTTTCCTTCACAGCCATTTTTTTATTTCTTTCCAAACGCAATTCAAATCATTTTAAATTTTCAACCACTCAACCAAATAAACCAAATGTAAGGACATGTATGCTCAAACATGTTGCTAAACCTTATGATGAATTTTAATTTAATGAAAAAATTTATTTTCCTATATTTTCATGAGCACAAAATTCAGAAATAAATCATTTTAAACCTATTTTCAAAAGAGGCAAATTTTAGGGTGTTACAATAGAATTAATTTCAAAATCTATTCTATAACGCTCAATTTGGTCTGAAACAATTTCACTACTACATAAAACATCTTTAGAGGCGGGTAAAATAGGTTTTCAGGGGTGGTCAGCCCAATCGCTGCAATGCCAGCGATTGTGAAGATAAGTGATTTTCAAAAACCGCCAACCGCATCTAAAAATCGATTTTCAGAGACAATTGACTTAAGTCAACCGTTCCTAATAATAATTTTCAATTTTAAAAAAATCATTTAGAGGCTAATAAAAACAAGAATTTTTTTAATGTAGCCCAAAGGGATGGGGACCAGCCACATCTCACGATTTATTTTACACTTGTTTCGAATAAGTGTCAACACCCGGATTTAAACCCACAACCTCTCACTTGCGCAATACCTCCGCTACCACCACACCATGCGGTCACTTATGTCTAGTTCTACAATACTGTCTATTTCTACTAATATATATGAATCTTGTAATCAATATTTTATCTCATAAATAATCTTAAATGAGAAAACTTTCAATTACAAAGTTTAAAATCTCGTCGAGCATTACAACTTTGATATAGAACATTTCTCCATCCAAGGTCATTTGAAAAATTTAAAATTTTAAAATTCAAAATCTGAGACTTAATTTATATATTTAGAACCCTAAATGATCTCAAACAAAATTTTTATCAACTACAACGTTTTAGATCTCGTTGAGCTCTACAGCTTTGATATAAAATTTGTCTTCATCCAACTTCATTTAAAAAAGTTATGAATTTATTTGTGCTGCAGCCATTTTTAAGGATGGCTGACTTAGTCAACCGCCTCAGAAAATCAATTTTCAGAGATGGTTGACTTAAGACAGCTGTCTCTGAAAATGAGTGATTTTCAGCAGCGGTTTTATTAAGTCAGGAGGTTGACTTAATAAAACCGCGGCTGAAAATCACTTATTTTCAGAGACTGGTTGACATAAGCCACCGTTCTTGAAAATAGCATTTTTAGATGCGGTTTTTTTAACGGAACCGCCCCTACATTTTCAGAGACAGATTTTTTAATAGAACCGCACCTAAAAATTGATTTCTAGCAACGGTTATATAGCTACCGTGCCTCCCACGAAGGTTAGCGACGACGTGCTAAAATAACCGCTTCTGTTAGAAAAGGGAGGTGCCTGTAAAAATCATTTTTGTACCAGTTTTTGTCAATGTACCTTTACGTAATACTAGTTCATGCTATTTTTTCCATAATTCTTGGGTGAATGTTTTAACCCTAAGAAAGTAAATAATAGATTCTGCAAAAATAACCTTTGTAGGGAACATATAGAGCTTCTATGGTGATTTATTATTTTTATGTGGTAGAGAACAACATAACAAGATTAATAAAATTATATTTGCTCTTACTAGATATTATACAAATAGTTATGAAATTTCAAGTTTTGCAGCACCTTTAAATGTTTTCCCAAAAAACAATCAATAGCTCACCAAAATCCTGAATATAAGTGCACCCGGTTGGGACGATGTGTAGCATCTGACATGTGGGGGGCCCTGTGTCCTCCCCATAGTGGTCGGTCAATACCATATGGAGGTCGGCCTTGACCGTGCGGAACGGCGACGACTCGGCGGTCGATCTCGCCGGTGGTGGGTTCTCCGGCGACAAGGGTCGCACCTGCAGCTCAGCTGGGCGAGGCGCATCACTTATTCTGGTTCTCGACGAGTCGGAAGGCACAGACATAGGATGGCGGTATGGGCGGCGACGGCCCAGCTCGTACTCGGCGGCGCGCGAGGGGAAACAGGGGGCCGGCGTCCGATTCGGCCACTCGAGTGGCCTGTGAGCTTTAGGGGGCAACCTAGGAGTGCTCTCATCGAATCGGCCGGAGAAGGTGTGAGTGGGGCTGCCCTCGGTGAAGGTGGCAGTGGCGGCTCGGTGAGCATGGCGGCGCAGCGCGCAGCAAAAGCCGGGGTTGGAGGTGCCGGTTCGATCTTTCCTTGGTTCGAGGGTGCAGAGGGGAGATTGAGGGAGGCTCATGTGTGGGCAATTGAAAGATGGTGGCGCGAAACGGCCGAATTTGGCCGAAGAAGCCTGGGCGGCAATGGCGGAGCAGTCCACGGACTCCTGAAAAGAAGGACCTCCGGTGGAAATTTGCTGCTGGTTAGTTGATTCTCTGTTCAGTGTTGCAACCAGTGCTGAAGCTGGTGGTCTGGTGTTCAAAGGATTTCTTGCACATGGGTAAGTGGCGTGAACTTCCTGAACAAAAATTGTTTCAGCTGCAATGTTCTACTATATTTATTTAAGGACCCAATTTGATTTTTCAATGGTCTGAAAGATATAAGTTCTTAAAGTTTGGTAAATTTGATCCCGAATTCAGACTTTCATATCAGAGTTATGAAATCAGCATTTTTTATCTTAATTCAGTTAGCTAGTTGACCATTTGTCATCTTGAGCTAGTTCACATAAAAGAGTATATCTTGGACTTCACCTCTGCTTCAAAAACATAGAAAAGTTCATGTATGGAATTAATCACTAAGCTCCAAAGATTGAAGCTTAATGCTGTTTTTCATAGTTGAATTCAGGGTTAAGTCAGCAACATTTCTAAACATCTTTGGCTTGTTGATTTTGTGCTTAAAGTTGGGCTTTTGTCAACCTACACTAGTTGAGCAAAACATCTAATTCTTGTTTGAGGTGAATTGTCATATAAGTTTACATAAGAAATTCCTCTAACTTAAGTTCCAAACATTGAACATGTTTTCTGGTTTTCAGACATGTCAAATCATACCAAGTGTTGTATTGTATTCCTCATAACATTCAATTTGGGGCATCATCTAAAAACATGTTTTTCTCTACGTTTTCATCTTGGATTTATACCGTATCAGAGTACATAACTAATATGGCCACTTTACTTTTAAGATTTTGTGAAGTTTATATGAAAAAATATTTTTAAACACCGCTCCAAACATTGCTACCTGTTACACTAGTTCAGACAGCCCAAAACATTCCAGTCTGGATTTTGGTATTTTATTCAAACTTGGGTATCAAATTTAAATGGTTTTTGCTTTAAATCTTTAACTTAGCTTTGTCCTAAGCTGAAGTACATGTATAACGACCACTTTTTGTTTTGGCCCTTTGTAACTGTTTAGGAAAACTAATAATTAAAGAACCCTAAACATTGAATCTTGTTAACATGTAAACCCTTAGAAATTTGACCTTTTTTAGATTATTAAGAAAATCTAAAGTTTGATGAAAATTTCAAATACTAGTTTATAAACTTCATCACATGTGACCATTTCTTCTAGCCACGTCTCATGAAAAATGCATATGCATCCATCCATGATGAATGCTAATGCTCAGGAAATCCTAGACGTAACACCAGAGGTGTTACACGTAACATCCTACAACACAAACAACAACATAATAATGATTCCACCAAAGGACAGAGGACGATCCAACACCATCAAAAAATATTATCATCTTGGATTATTAATGAGGCTGCCACAAGCCCACAACTGTGTGTTTTAAACTTCCGATGCGTCCACACTCAGTCGACATGTGTCACCATTGCCGTCGGGCCACACAGTGATGGGACCTTTGACTTCACCATGACACGCCTTGCTGAAATGTCTTACATGACTACATGAGAATGTGGCCAAGAACATCATTACTTCTTCTGGGGCTAGGGGATCTTCATTTCTCATATCATCTAATTAACTTTGAAACCAAAAGCAACAACTGTGAATTGTAATACAATGAAAGCATGACTGGTGTTGAAGCTTCAAGTTTCCAGCAACTGACAGAGTCCTGTGGAGGTCAAATTGGGCTCCTGGCTCCGCTTAGCTGGGAAACACTCATAAAGGTCTGTGTACATTTATAAGTATATGGACAGTCCATCTAGAGACCTAGCTAGGCTAAGCATGCTTCCTGCAAACTGTGCATCTAATGGCCTCATGGCCTATCCATCTCCATCAAATAGTACTAGCTGACCACAAAACTGCGTGTAATCTAGCAATAATGCTCATTTTTTTATCATACTGTTGATGAACAATTTGCCCCCCCTCCCGATTACGAGTCACGCTCTGCCACTGTTTATGGCCTTACTTTTCTTGTCCTAATGACCAGATGGATCTGCAATGGAGCAAGCCTCAGCATCAGTTCAGTGCACTTACCATTACAATTCTTATGTAAACAGTAAACTAGAACCAACCCATATCATATTATTATTGGAAATTTGTAATTGCAATAATCTTACCTATGTTTCCCTTTAGATATGCATCCTTGATTCTGTGCAGGTTTGCAGCTACATCCTGCATGCCCATGCGCTGATTTGGGGATTTCTTAGTGCAGTCAAGTCCAATGTTTATAACTGAAATTAAACACTCCAAGCTTTTCTCCTTCATGGACACTGAAGTTTCTCGTGAGAAATCATGCTGCTCTTCTAGTAACTCTGGATCTACAATCTGTAGTATCTTGTCAGGAAAGTTTGTTTCAACGAAATTCACAATGTTTTGTCCATCATTGAACATATCATCAGTTGGCCTCTTCCGAAAAAATATTTCTAGTAGAACAATCCCAAAACTATAAACATCCCCAGCACATGAATCTTGACCACCGTCAGCACATTCTATTGATAGAAAACAAGAAAGTTTAGTCCAAAATTTAGTAGAGGCACCACATACGGTTTTATGACAATTAACACTACCTGGTGCAACATATCCTATTGTTCCCCTTATAGCAACTGAAGATGCTGAGATTGAATCACCTAACGATGATGCTGTAGAATCAACTTTGGACCTTGCAAGACCAAAGTCTCCAATATGTGCCGTCATGTTAGCATCCAAGAGAATGTTGCTAGGCTTCAGATCGCAATGAACAATAGTTCCTTGGTTGTTATGGTGGAGGTATTCCAATGCATCTGCAACATCCACCACAATGCTTAACCTTTGAGCTAAAGTAATGTGGCTCAGAGTTGAAGTGTTTGAATCATCTTGCATGTACAGTAATGCATGTAGGTCACCTCGTGGCATGAACTCGAAAACCAAGGCTTTGAAATCATTTCCTTTATAATCAATACTTGAGCACGCAGTCAAGATGGGTACTAGATTGCGATGCCGCACATTTCTCAGAGCAGTACATTCTTGAACAAAGCTCTTATGTGCTCCCTCTGTCTCCAGGCTAAAAACTTTGATAGCAACCACAACTCTTTCTTGGAATAGTTTCCCCTGATATACCGAAGAATATCTTCCTTTTCCAATTAAATTGGATGTAGAGAACCCCTCTGTTGCCATGGAAATATCATTGTAAGAGACTTTCGGAAATTTCCTTCCAAATGAGGGCACAGAGATAGATGCTTTGTTTTGCTTCTGCCTAAAAAGGAATAGACCATATATGATCATAGCAAGTGATAACACACTGACCACTGGGATAGTTGCTTTCAGCACAAGATATTTCTTGTCCTTAGATGAACTCAATGGCATGATAGAACATGCGAGTAGGTGCAACTCTAATGGGCCACCACAAAGCCCTCGATTTCCATCAATTCGCACAGCAGTTGCATTCTTAAATATTCCTTTGGTTGGGACCTCGCCCGTGAGATGGTTGAATGACAAATCCAATTGTTCAAACATTTGCAGGTTGCTAAGAGGCAATGGTATTGATCCGGTCAAGTTGTTGTGAGACAAATTGAGAACTTTTAGGCTTGCTATATTGCTTAATGAAGTGGGGATCCTTCCACTGAAAAGATTGCAGTCTAGCTTGATATCCTCCAAACTTTCACAATAACCCAAGGTTTTAGGGATATCTCCAGATAGCTTATTGGATGAAAGTTGCAGATAAATCAGTTGCTTGGCATTACCTACTTCTGTTGGAACTTGTCCATCTAGGTTGTTGAAAGACAAATTGACTTGCTGAATTGTTGGAATTCTGAAGATCTCCGCTGGTATTATACCATCAAGAAGATTGTTTGAAATGCTCAATGTTTCAAGCACTTGAAGGTTTTGAAAACCTGAAGGTATTTGTCCTTCAAACCTGTTAGACTCTAGAAGGAGCACGGCCAATTGAGACATATTTGAAAGAGATGATGGAATAGGCCCTCTAAGCATATTTTTGCTAAAGTATATTCCTTGCAAATTTTTCAGAGTCCCGAACCATTCTGGAACTACACCTGTAAATTGGTTATTTTCCAATTCTAAACTAATCAGATTGGGAAAGTTTGCTAGGCCCGAAGGAAATTCACCGACCAAATGATTGTTTCCCAAATATAGATTCTGAAGCTGATCCGATAGGTTGCCTAATGAAGTTGGTACCTGACCTTCTAGCTGATTATAAGCAACCGAGAATGTTTGTAGCATAGTGCAGTTGGCTAAGTTGTTAAAAAACTCCCAGTCTTGCTTGTCACGAGCTTGGAGTATATTGAACTCAAGATTTAATTCAGAAAGTTTAGTAAGTTTGCCGATGGAACTAGGCACCACTCCTGTAAAATTATTAGCTGATATGTCAATGATTCTAAGATTTGATGCATTACTCAACGAAGTTGGGATATGCCCTCGAAAGAAGTTTCCGTCCAACAAAAGCATCTGGAGATTGCATAGAGAGCTACCCAGATTAGAAGGCACCTCACCACTTAAAGGATTCTCACCAAGTCCTAAGGAAACAAGAGTAGAAAGATTCAGGATGGCTAGTGGAAACCTACCTGTCAAATGATTTTCACTCACCAGCAGAGTCCGTAGGCTAGGGAACCTTCCAAACTCTTTGGGGATGTTTCCCTCGATATTATTATACACACAACTAAACCTTAGTAGCGTTGTGATATTGGGAAGAGAAGAAGGGAGAGTTCCTGTAAGATAATTAAGTGCAAGATGGAGCTGCTGAAGTTGAGGAGGCAAGCCTGGAAACTGTCCAACTAGATTGTTGCCGTTCAACCATAAAACCTTAAGACTGGAGCAGTTCACAAAATCTGGTATAATTCCCTGTAGTGTGTTATTGCTCAAGTAAAGGGTTTGCAAGTGAGGCAAGTGGCCTAGGGATGGAGGTATATTTCCTGTAAATCTATTGTCCAATAGTGTCAGATTACTTAGATATGTTAAGTTTCCGAGTGAAGGAGAGATTTGTCCTAGCAAACCTAGATTTGCAAGATGAAGAGAAATGACACGGAATGGAGTCTTTGCTGTGCACATGACACCTTTCCATCGGCAATGGTGTGTGCTCTCATTCCAGGATATCAGGGCTTGCTGTGGGTCAAGAATGATTGCCTTCTTGAAATCAAGCAGTGACAGCCGATCTGTTTCGTTTACACTAGTGGAGCTGCAGGTGACAGCATATCCACTGCAAGCTATGAGCACCAACACAAACTGTACCACTGTTGTAATCTTCATGGCCATTTTTGTTCAACCTGAGATCATGATTAGTTTAATCAAAACATGAAGCAGTAAACTAAACTTTAGATAGATTATGTAGATACCGGGCACTGCAGGCTGACTACTGTAATTTTAGCCTCGTACACACAACTCAATATGGCACCAGGACTAAGTCTCATGTTATACTTAGGTAGTTGTCAAATTGACATTTTGATGCGTAGTTATCCAAGGAATGCATCCTCAAAAATAGTGTGCCCGTTTGTGGTAATGCATGCAACTAATAATAATACATAATCCTTTCTTCCTTGATACAGCATATATTTATAGAGATTGCTAGTCAAATTTTCAGATATATAGTTAACATCATCGGCATCGTAAAAGCACATATTTGTGGTGTAGGGAATATATATCAATTAAGTATAGCCTCCACTAACTTAATTGACATGGTACGGAGGAGAGGGTATGACCTTATCTAACCCATAGATTTGAGTAAAAAAAATTTAGTGGAGGACAGTCTCCATGAGTAGCGTTGAGCACCCGTTGTGGATTCACGACACGTATCTAGACATATGCATCTAAAGCATGAGATTGTTGGTTAAATTTAAGAGAAATAATAGAAAAGAGAGAGAGAAAAAGCAGTTGTCTCCTACGTTGCATGCACGTACGCACGATACTCTGTAGTAACAATAATTAAGGTATAAGGTTGGTGACGAGATGCTTACTGGCTTTCTTCAGCGATGTCCCGAACCTCCGCGACGACCGGTGACTGTGAGGACGAAGAAGTCAGGCAGAGGCACCTGACCACCAGAACGACTCGATTGGACAAAATGATGGAGCTAATGCCTTGCTTGCTGCATCCACCCTGACCCCTTGGCTAATTTATAGCATTGTGGTGGGCAGCCATAAACTTATTATATTATGATAATATTGCTGTCCTTTGCTGACTGGCATAGCCGCCTTTTTCCCCATTTCCTTGACCTTATAGTGTGGCCGTTGGCCAGTCAGATTAGAGTTAATTGGATGCATTTGCAAGCAATGCCCTTCATTATCTCTCTTTCGCATTGTTTATGAAAATGCGTTACTAATAAATTTCTGCTTTGCCCCAGAGCCTTAGAGAGCGGTAGCAATCGAGTCTTAAACTTCATACATATGAACATGGAAGGAAGATCAACGAATTATAGGGATGGTGACTGAGTGATGACATTCTAATAGCCGCCGCAAGATTCTTCGCTTTTTTGGTAATATATAATATATGTTCACACGAGAGCTCAACTACCGCGCCAATGCAATGTCAACGCTGAAAATGATCAAGTTCTAATTAGAAGTCAGATTGGTGATCCTAGAGGACAATAATTGAAACTTGGCCGAACGGCTAGCGTTAATTAACCTTTCTCTGAATGATACTGTCAAACCCTTACGTAGGATAGAAATTGTACGGCTAGCGCTTATAAAATCTTTTGTAATTAATTTAATTTGTTTATTGCATTCATGCCTTTGCTTTGGTTTGGTTGTGTGAAAAATGAATTTAAAAAGTCGTTCAAGCTACGAATAGGCTTTGTTCTGTTTACAAAATAAATTATTAAGTTTTGTTTGAAAACTATGTTTAAAAATGGCTAGTTTGAAAATCTCATATTGGTTCAAATAAGTTTCAAAATTTGACTTTGATTCAAAAAGATTTAAATTTGATCTTCAAAATGAATTTACAAAAATGAAAGAGGCTAAAATCTTCCTCCCTCCTTCCCGGGCTGGAATCCCGGCCGGCCCAACTTTCTCCCACGCCTCTCTCCCTTCCCGCTGGGCCTCAGCCCAACTCCTCCCCGCACCCTTGCTCCCTCTCTACCTAGGCCGTGGCGCATTTCCACGCCTCACAGCCAGCCCACGCGTAGCTTGCAGATGAGTCACTTGTTTAGTGCTTCCAAGTTAGTCATCCTTTGTTGCTAGCGTCTGATGCACGTACCCTCGTTATGATGCGTGTAAATCAAATTTTCTTAATTTTAATTAGTTTTGTAGAAAATACATGCAACATTTATATCTTTAAATAGGTTTATTATAAAAATATATTCAACGATATATCTAATGATACTAATCATATATTATAAATATTAATATTTTTTTTATATATTTAGTCAAAGTTAAACGTGTTTGACTTTTCAAAAATTGAAAATGACATCTATTTTGGGACGGAGGATGTATACGGGGAAATGAGAAGCAGAGTTCTTATTCTTACCATTGGCCCGCAACAAAAGATAGTGTCGGTGTTTCGGACCGGGGGGTCCTCAACCGACTAGTGAATTTGTTCTGCGTGCTCCCGATTCCGGATGGTGATGCAAAGAGACACAAGATTTATACTGGTTCAGGCAATCGGCGCCCTACGTCCAGTCTGAGAGATCGAACTTGTATTCCTTGCACCGAAGTGCTCGTAGTAGGGGGTTACAAGCTAAGGGAGAGAGGGAACTAGTCCTAGGTCTCGGCAGGGTGTCGTGTGGGCCGTCTGAGACGTTGCTCTCAAGCGGCTAGAATGTGTGCGTGTGTGTGTTACCCGGTGTTCCTCCTCCTTTCCTAAGTGACCCAAGTCTTCTCCTTTTATAGTTGAAGGAAGGACAAGGACAGTACATGTATTACTATGCGGCGTCATGCCGACAGGGGCGGCATGTCCGAGCCCTGTGGCCTGTTCCTGGGGCGGCGTGGTCGTCGGAGTGGTCCATCCTTGGAGTACTGGGGCGGCGTGGTCGTCCCATCAGATCCTGTGCGTCGTGGGAGCCCCGGGAATGCCTCGGAGTGGACGCGGCGGCGAACGTGCAAGCCACTGTGGACGGACTGTGCGCGAGGCCGAGACTTGGTCGGTGCCGAGGCTTGTACTGCGGTGGGGGGTCTCGGCAGGCACGAACCCCAAGATCGCCGAGGCCCTGGTGTACAGTGCCGAGGCCTTGAGCGGGCGGCCGATCATGGGTACAGCGTTTGGACACAGTGGCCGGTAATCCCCGTCGTACCCTGTCCCAGCCGGTATGGCGCTGATCGTGGACACAGTGGTCGGACACAGTGGCCGGTAATCCCCGCCGTGCCCTGTCCCGGCCGGTATGGCGCTGATGCGACCTCGGGTCGCGTCGGCCATTCTGTGGCGTTGAGCCACCGTCCGGCTGAGATTGCGGGAGTGGTTGAAGCATTAATGAGACATGACACGCTGTCGGGAGGGTCGGCCGAGGCGGGGGACGACGGACCGCGGACGAGCCAGCCTCGAGCGATACAGAGAATGAGGCCTCGCGCGAGACGGAGATCAGGCTCCTTGCCGAGGCATCGCGCGAGAGGCCTCGCGCGATACGGAGAACGCGCCTCCTGCCGAGGCCTTCCGTGGAGAGCCTCGGGCGAGGCGAAGACGGCGTTCCCTGCCGAGGCCTTCCCTGGGGAGCCTCGCACAAAGCGGAGTTTGCGTCAGGACGCCGAGACCTCCTGCTCGAGGCTCGAGGCGAGGAGGGGGAGGACCCAGTGGGCTCGGTCGTGGCGGGTGAGGGGCCCACGACTTACCTTCTAGCTTTTATTATTTTTTTAGATGGGACTTTAGCGACCCATTTGATGTTTTGCTTGGGGTACCCCATTCTAAGGTACCCGACAGTAGCCCCCGAGCCTCGGGGGGAGTGCGTGCACTCCCCCTGAGGGTTTGCCGAGGCTTGGTTTATACCTGCCCCGTAGGAATTGGGGTTTGTTTATTGAGGTTCCGGTGGGTGCGTGCGAGCGCACCCGCCGGGTGTAGCCCCCGAGCCCCCAGAGGAGTGGAGTTACTCCTCCAGGGGCTTTCTTCATTTTCGCGTCTGAACGAGTAGTTCTTATTGCATTTGCCGAGCCCCCAAGCGCAAGTTCAGGTTGCGGGGGTCCCGGTGAGGCTGCAGGAAGAAGCCCTCTTGCCTCCGCACGGAGCGAGAGGTTCGTCAGGGGTCCCCTGACTTTGGGTATGATCCTCACGCTTCCTTTCGCTCAGAAGGAGGGGTGGAATGTGCCAGGCTACCCTCAATGGGCACGAGCGTGGACACTTCCGGTGAGCTGTTAGCGGGTAGTCCGAGTGGAGGCCCGAGCCCCGTTCGCTGGGGGACGGCTAGTGGTCCAGAGACGCACTCTAAGAGTACCAGGGGGTTTCTCTAGTGGGTGCCGAGGCCGTTCGCGGGCCTCGGTGGCTCGGTGCCTCCCTACGGTGGGATCCCATTCGGATACTTCCCCGCCGGTCTCGGACACGACTTAGGACGCCCCGAGCGACCGTTCGCTCGGGCCTGGGCCACTCGTAGGCTCGCCCCGATGTCGTCCCTGACTCTGTTGCCCTGGGGTGGCTGTCGAAACCTTTTGGAGGCCCAGCCTTCGAACCCCTGGACCGTAACGGGCTCGGTGCCCTTTTATCGTGTTTGTAGCGAAACCTCTAGCGCGGTTTTGGACTATTTGTCTTTGTCTTGGGTGTTCTGGCCCTTTCATCTGATCTTCACATGTCCTTTTCGTTCGGATGGAGGGTTAGTTTGCCGAGCCCATTCTGGTCTCGGCAAGGTTGCAGGAAGAGCCCCTAGCCTCTGCGTGAGAGGGCCATCGGGAGTTCTCCTGACTTTTTATACGCCCCTCGCGCGTGAGGGTTTGTTTGCCGAGGCCTCTTTGGGCACGAGCCCGGGTCGTGGGGTCTCGGCATATTTGCAGGAGGAGCCCCCTAGCCTCTGCATAGGGCAAGAAGGCCGTCAGGGGTTCCCCTGACTTTTTATGCGACCCTCGCGCTTCCTTTTCGCTCGGAAGGAAGGGTGGAATGTGCCTCGCTACCCTCGATGGGCACGAGCGGTGGCACTTCCGGTGAGCTGTTATCGGGTAGTCTGAGTGGAGGCCCGAACCCTATTCGTTAGGGGACGGCTAGCGGTCCAGAGACACACTCCAAGAGTACCAGAGGATTTCTCTAGTGGGTGCCGAGGCCGTTCGTTGGGCCTCGGTGGCTCGGTGCCTCCCTACGGTGGGATCCCATTTGGATACTTTCCTGCCGGTCTCGGACACGACTTTGGGCATCC